AATTCAATGGCGAATTGACGAAGAACTCATCAAATCCGAATTCGTTTGCGCTAATATAGAAGCCATTGAAGTTGTATTCAACATGGTTCCAGTCGACTAATTTGGAGTTCAAATATACCGGGAAATGTTTGGATGGTATTGCATCTCTCCTGCTGAATAGGCCCGGTTCACCATTGTCATAACCAGTAGCAGCAATGTTGAACTCTCCGTATTGGTAGACATCTCCCATTCTCCCAGATTCGCGCGCCCAGTCGTTTTGGCAGTCCTGAATAATACAAAGGGAATCGATCCATATGTAATGAATGCTGAGCTCAACAGCGATGTACATGGCGTCTTTGAATACGTTAAGGAGTCGATCAGTTGGTATAGCTTGATTCCATTCATGTCGATTGCTCTTTTGAAGCTTCAAAAATTGGCTGGGCCCCCATCGATGACTCAACGTCACGTATGGAGTGGATACCTGTAAGCTGTCCGTTTCGCAGAGATTTGCACGGATGTCTGTATTTCCTTGATGGGGTCTCCAGACGCGAACTAAGCGAGTTGGAAGAACACGAGAGTTTGATTGCCATTGTCGACAAGTGCAGCGCTGATACCAGGACCGGACCATGTTGACGCTTGCTTCCAATCTTGCAGTGCTCGTCTTCAAGATACAATCTAGTAAACATTGGCTATCTTAAAACGAATACCGAATTTTATCGCTTAACGCACCCAGGAACTATGGTCCCACACCACCTAGGCCTCTTACGGAGTACAGGTACATGGTTTTGAAGCCATGGATATCGTAGTCTCCGATCATACAATCGTCATCGTCAAAGAGACGGAAAGTCAACTTAACCGAGTCTGCTTCTGATTTTGATGGAACGAAATCCCCATAGCCGTGGTCAACAGTGCATTTGATGGAACCTGACTTTCTTAGCGTCCCCGAATCGTCCCCTGTGTAATAGTTATCTAGGGATTCAGATAACTGTTTGCAAAGAGGACAGCCAGAATGAACGGAGCTTCGCAACGCAGACAGGGAAGTGTGAAACATGTAGTCCTTCCTGTATTCAAACACATGGTAGGTCTTTCCTTCAAGAAACCTGCGACAGACGAGACAGAGTTTTGATGCCCACTGACTCAAAGCGAGCGACAGGTTTTCAGGCAATTCGTCGTCTTCATATGTTGCTGCGGGCCCATCCATGACATCGTCCTCGTCAGCGTCGTTCCCGAGCTTCGAATTATCACTGTCATCTTTCTCTCGAGCCATGGGTTTGCCTTCATTCTCGTCATCATGCATTACAGTCGCTGTATTCTCGTCTTGTTGCATGCCAAAGTTGAAAGTATTGAGAATGAAGACGGCACCGGCAAAGATGTGCAAAGAGATTTTGAGCTGGACAATGGAACGCGAGCCGGGGCGTGTTTGATATCGGAACGCCTTTCCTCCGTGAAAGGTTGAGGGAAGCAGGGCCTTATGTCGTTTCCACCTGCCCAGTGAACGTGGTATGCGGCAAGCGCTTAAAATCGGGAGGCCTCCATAAGCCCTGCGGTTGCACGATGTGTGTAGTGTGATAACGAATTGGACCGCTTTACTCGCTCTTGGGAGTGTTGCACCACATTGGCGTGTATACACTGCAGTCCTATTCGATAATAACTATGCAGAAGAAACTGCTTATGGGAGGTGAATTACTCATAGTGATATAAATTCGTGCCCCAATTGGAATTGGGCCTAATCGACGCTAGGCCGCATATCTCCACGACTACAGACAATGTCTCACTCTGCCGCATTACTAGCACAAGTCCACGGTTTCGACCCCGAAGCACTCGCAATCGACTCGATCGACACCCAGAGACCCAGAACACACAGCAGGATACCGACAACCAAGAGGAGCGACGTAAAGAAGAACTGCGTCTTCTGTTTCCAGTTGCTGAACCAGTTGCCGTAGTGCATCCACAACCAAAAGATACCCGGCAGCCCGAACGAAAACCAGCTTGCAAACGCCGCGGACACAAGGCCCAGGAGGTTGTTGAACACCGGGATCGACTCCGAAATCACCATGCCAATACCCCAAATACCGAGGGTCACAAGCAGCCACGCAACCGTGGACAGCTTCGTCCGTCTGACAACATGCTTCGTGTTACCGAAGATACGCGTGAAGATGTACTGCGACGCGACGTGCGCGTATATCACAGCCGCAATCGCAATCGTCGGAATCGCCACGCCCCAAATCGCCTTCCGGATCGTGGCACTCCCCGCCGCCGACAGTGCCGGTGACGGCACATCAGGACCCGCGTAGACGTAGATGATCACAGCCGAGATCAGGTACAGCGTCGTATCCGTAATCTGCAAAAACGCAAGCGCTTTCGGCCAGTCGTCCGGGTTCTTAAACTCCGCAATGACGCTGAAGAAGATGGAATGGCTCGAGAACGCGCCCGCAATATTCGTCACGGCCAGAAACGCCGGCGAGAAGCCGAGCTTGCGGAAGATGTCCACCGACCCGGCCCCAATCGGCTTCTCGATCGCCACGTCCACGACGGTGATCAGCACCGCGACGACAATCGACACGCACGACGCGGCGGACATCCAGCTCGTGTACTTGAGCGTCCGCGGGACGTTGAAGATCCAGAACGCGATCATCCCGACGGCCGCCCAGACCACGGTGCACGTCGCGCTGTTGGTCAGCGTGTTCATGCAGATGGTCCAGAGCAGGATATGCCCGCCCATGAGGAAGACCTGCAGGATCGTCTGCGCCCAGCCGAAGACCTCGCGGAAGACGCCCCCGAGGCCGATGGGCTTGCCGATGAGCTCGACGGCGTCGCCGAAGTGCTGGACGAAGGGGTACTGCTTGCGGAACTCGGCGAGGAGGAGGCCCGAGTAGGTGGCCAGCGCGGAGATGGTGCAGATGAGGATGACGCCCGGGACGAGGCCGACGGTGGCGAGGACGGAGGGGAGGGAGAGGATGCCCAGGGAGACGGTCTCTGCTACGAGCACGATGCCTCCTTGCCTGGGTAGAGTTAGTTGGGGTGAGAGGTTGGAGGGTTGGGGTGACTGACAGCCAGTGGAGGGTCTTGAAGTTGATCAACTCGCCCTCGTCGTTCTCGCCCACGCCGCCGATGTGGCTCGACGAGGAGAAGGCAGGCGGCTGGTCCTGGACCACTTTGGAGCCAGCTGGCGCGTCGGCCTTGGCCTGGCTCTCAGGGTCGACGGGCGCCCTCGTGGCCTCTGTGTCCTTTCCCATGTTGAACGCCTGGGAAAACAGGTCGGTTGAAGCCGAGTGATGTGGACTGGCGAACTTATAAGGCTTCACGATCCCCTCACAAGTTCAAAGCTGAGAGGTGTTGTTGGTGGAACCTGTTCGCGTCCGGTGGAGCGATCCGATGAGATGGCAGGACAAAGAGGGACTCAGGCCGACATGCAGCTTTCGGGGAGCGGCTTGTGGAGCAAATCGGGAAATCAAGCCTGTTGCATACGGGATGATTTAGGTTTGAGGGGCCCCGGATTCTCTGTTCCTTCTGATGTGCGTTTGCGCGGTTCTCGTCGGCACTCGTGGCAGAAAGGCAGAAGGGGGGATAAACATTTTAAGAGGGAAGCACATTCCCATCATCAACCCACACCCATTGACTCACGGCTCTTCCGTCTTCCCACGCCACCCCAAACCTGCCCCAAAAACCTGGACACATGGGACGACCCCATTGTCGGAGCCAGACTTTTCTGACACGATGACTGAGTTGAAAATTTAACAAGGTGCTACTGCATCTGGAACCTCCGCTACAAAATCAGACGGCGGGCGAAAATTCGGGGTTTTCGTTACGTCTTGCAATCCACTCGGCGGGGCCCGCTCTGGATCCCTTTCCGGGATCTACGGGGCGCGCGCACTATGGGAGAACCGCCACGGACCCACGGTCAGAAGGCCGATTCGATTTTTCTTCTTTTTCCGAGGTGTGACTGATGTTTCGTGGCATGAGAAAACGCCGGTAGCGAACTGCAGATGTTGCTAATCGTTCCCCGATGAGAGGACGGGAGGGGGAGAGTTTGCCGGCCGGCACGGGAGACGGACGAGGGTGAGTTTGGAAAGGGGGTGCGGCAGCAGCCGCGAGTCATGCCGGTTTGCATACCTTAATCCAACGTCAACCAGATCGATAGCCCCTATATGCAACATGTCTCCCCCGCGTTTCGAAACGCGTGACCTTGTAAAATGTTCAAAAGGCGCGCTTGGCAGGTCTGCGCTATCCAGCAACGGCAGGTCGCAAGCCGCATTCACGTAATGGCTACAACGGGTGGAATTGACGATCACGGGAAAACTGTTGCATATACGAACGGGTCTTGTTCTGATTTACGTTTGAGGAACGTAAAAAGTCCGTCGCTCTCACTCGGATGTTTGATTCAAGTGTTTGAAAATGGCTCCAAAGTATGCTTATGCATGTGCAGCTAGCCCACTATCTACATTCGTCCGCTTGAGGCACACTACGCCTAACTCTCAATCAACATTAAGGGAAGAACGTGGTATTCATCATGTCAAAAGGGATGTCACGTTCCCAATGATGCTTAAGTAATACCAAGATATCCCGGTTGATGGGCCTTTCGATTAGTTTTTTGGTAACAACAATTCCAATAGGTGATGTTGTTTCATGTACAAGGTCCAGGGGCTCCTGATATGACCAGTGATGCTCAATTCAGAAGAGAGAAGCCCAAAGCAGCCGGGTTTGGTGAATCCGTGTGATAAAGTTGAACTCGATGAATAATTATCCTGGTTAGGCTATGGACTGGGACCGATACCTAACTACTTTACTGCCTATTTTCTGTCAACTGCAATACCGTAATCTTTTCCGAATCCCAAACATGGAATGAAATTCATGATTCATCAGCAGTTTTGTTCCAAGAGCGGAGTTGTGCAGGATCAATTCCTTTTCATACCCAGGAAGAAAATTCCAGAAACTCTGTAAAGTGGGTGTTCCAGACTCGACTTACCATTAACACGATTCCAGCCTTCTGCAAAGCCATTCCGTATGAGACTTAGCATCGGTTAACGAAGCAGCATCCCCTTCAAGACTGAAACAATATGCTCCAGCGAGTCGATTTGTTGCTGCTCGATGAGCATGCAGACGTGATGCTCCCGAATCATTTCCTCGGACCACGTACGGCTCTCAGCGGCGTCAATGTGAACCAAGCCACAAATCTGTTGGATGCGAGCGCTGTAGTCCTCGATTACGATGGGATCCAGGTTTCCGAACTCGGAGTGGTTGATGAGTCTGGGCCTTCCAGTCTCCGATGTAAGGCCTTCGATCCACGCCGGGCCATTGCTGGCCATGATGCCGCCAACGACATCGAAAAGAATGCCCATGCCATTAGTCACATCGCCCACTATAACCTTGGCAGCGTCGGGAAGCCATCTCTGACAGTCTTTCAGGATGGAAATGGCATGCTGCAGTTCCTTTTTCAGGCCATACATAGTCTGCCGGGTGCGAGGTCGTTGATAGTCATTGGGAGTTTCGATCTCGTATTTGGGTGCGGGTGCCGCTGTGATACCAGGGAAAACATACCATGGCTTCTTCTGAAATTCGGCGAAATCACTGCCGAGGGTTAGCCAATAAGCCACGACACGGTGTATGAAATGACAGCTTACGCTTGAATGATGGGGAGAAATTCATCCATTTGTTTCGCGGCGCTCTCAAGCTCACCAACCAATGTCTCAAGCGAAGGAGCACGCTTTGGACTGCTTGAGCCAGGATTGTTGGACTCGACGATCTTGAATTCAAAACCAATCTCCCACAAAGTGCGGCTCAGTGAGGCTATCCACATCATCAGACTAGCATCCAACGGGACGTCTCTCGCCGTGGTAATGGGTTGATTGCACTTTGCTGCGTAGACGGCAAGGATGGGCGTGAGACTATCAACCTGAGCCAGGAGAGACTTGCAAGCAGGGAGGACCTTCGTCGCATGCTTCAGATGCATTATGCAAAGTGCCGGGCTGGTATCTCGCAGCATTCTTGAAAGAGACTGTAGCGCATTGTCGATGACGATGGGATCTGTGGAAGTCTCGTCGAGGTCCAGTGTGTCGCCAAGAGATTCTGGTGCCGTGTCATGGGTAGATGCACCAAAGGACGCTCCGCATTGCGAGACCATCTCTTTTGGCTTTCGCTCTTGTTCAGTAAAACCTTTCAATGACATGTCGCCGATTCTCGGCACGCCTTTCGCGCCTTTTCTGGGGCCCGACTCCTGGGGGTTCAGATTCTTGAGAGGAGCGGAAGTGATTTTGCCCATTGTTAACTGTTTCCAGCTGCCCAACTCGTGGGTTGCATCATTGCAAGGCAGGTTAGGATACGTTGCTTCATTGCTGACATCAGATGTCTTTGAGGCATTGGACTGTGGTGTGAAGGTATCCTCTGGTCTCTTATGTTGAATGGCAGATGTGCTCGATACTGTAGGTCGACTTCGCGGAGCTCGAGCAGGATTAGGGAGAGGAGCTGGAGGACCGCATTCAAGCATGTAAGCACGTCTTGTCTTTTCGTCGGGGAATGCGAAAGAGGAAAGGGTGGCGTTATCTGTCGCCGCGGCTGGCGCTTTCGTGTATCGATAGACGTTTCCTGACGTGGGGGCACGGGGATATTGTGGTCGTTGAGAGTCTTCCCGGGGAGACGATGCGGTAGGTTGTCTTATATCTTGCTGGGTCGGCGGCAGCGGGGCCTTTGGCTTCGATGCGGACGTGGTCTTGATCGCCGCCACCTTGTCGACAGACACGGGGCTGGTTGGTCTAGGAGCAGACTGAGTGCCAATATCCATCTTTGATAGGGCATGTCCTAGATCGGACGTGTTCGCATCGTTCGCATCGTGGCTTGCAGTGACTTGAGGAGCATGTCGAGTAGGAGACGTCTGACTGCGAGGAGAAGAGTCGACTTTGGATCGGGTCGGGACGGGAGACGCGGCGGGCTTCTCGTCTTCCTCGTCGTCGGAGGATAGCGACTTGACGGAATAGTTGTCGGCAATCTCCTCCCAATCGTCGTCCGAGCCAATCTTGCCGAAGCTCTCGCGCGAAGCCATGATGGCCGTTGGCGTCGAGGATGGTCGCTGGGACGTTAGCCGATGGACGTGATGATAGAGAGGGATGGTCTGAGGTTGCAAAAGTTACGGTAGATCGTGAATCGGTGAGGTGGCACCTGGTCGGGCGGGGAAGTTGAGATGGGACGGAAAGAAGGAGGGAGTCCCTGAAGCAAGGATGTGGAAGGCAGAAAAAGTGCATAAGGGCAATTGAATAGGTGGCTCTTTCTGGTCCCTCCAGGTGCCCAAGTCAGCAGCGGTGACGCGGACAGAAGGAGGCGGATTCTGGTCCAGTCCAGTCCTGTCTGCCTACCTTCTTGACCCGGAGGGCGGAGGGACGCAAAGACGCGCGCCTCAGGCTGGAGTTTCCTTGTCCAACCGGTGAGGCAGGCAGCTGCAGGCTGCCGTAGGTTTTCTTTGGCTCCTCGGCTGCTGTTGGCCCTCGCACACCGAAGCTTCGACCAATCAGCGAGCTTGAGTCGGTCAGTTCAGCGACTGGCGCTGTAATCGCCCTTGTCGTAGTGCAGATCCCTACCCCGCAGTGGGCAGGTGTGGTCTGTGCACCTCCTCGCTAGGTTGTCTTATCGGCGACAAGAACCCCTGTTGACTGTGGCGATAAGCCTCGGGCTGCATCTCGAACATTGGGGAAGGAGCCATTCGAGCCCACATGTTCGTAGCTCACTTCCAGGATGCCTGGTCTTTTTGGCTACTTCGACCTCATTCTCCAATACTTGCAGAGAAACGAGTACCTCTCCGTCAATTGTGTCACGTCAACCGAAAGAAGGGCAGTGTTGGCCGAGAAATCCGATCAATATTATGGCACGCTTTCGCAGGCCGTGATGGTGCCGGTGCCGAATTCCGTCATTGAGCTCCCGTCCATGCGGACTGCCATATCGCAGTCTGCCCTTCTAGATATCACATCACAAATCTCTATCCTAAACACAGGAATCCCAAACAAAAGAAACGTCTCAAGCAGAATGGTGAGACTGCTACCCCAAACTCCTCTTGCATAGGCTGGCTTGCTGACGACCCTCCTCAACTAGCAAACACCCATCATCCAGACCAATGCTACCGACAAGCACCCGTCAATTCCACTATTCCCCGATAATCCCTGACAAGTTTACACGCTCATGCTGCTGTTCTCGTGCTGCATCTTTCGAAAGTTACCTCCCATCTTCATCAGCTCCAACCCGTTCTTGATGGGCGGCTCGCCACGGAGGAGGAGACCGATTTCGCTGGGGTGGAACCAGTTCATCCACACCATGACGAGGAACATGAGCGTCGCATCGAAGATGTAGATGTACACCTCCGTCGTCATAAGCTCTCCCTTGTTGCCCTGCAGGTACTCGATCACACGGAAGACGCTTCGCACCCAGATCAGGACACTGGTGACATACAGCGTCAGGAGGTAGTACTTCCACCGGATCTCGGGCTGATGGGCTTTGGCCGTGGGCACAAGAGCCATGCGACGATGGAAGAGTGCGGCCGTGACGATGAAAAAGCCAAACACGAACAGCTGAACGAAGAGGCCGACGATGATGGTCTTCTCGCCAATCTCCATGAAGTTGTTGCCCTGGCCGGCAGCCGCCATCATTCCACCACCTGCGGCCATCAGCATCTTTTGTCAAGTTGGGGCTTGGATATACATACCGCTGGATTGGAGAAGCAGAGACAGCACGTCGCCAGAGACGAAAGCCTTGGTGAGCCAGCGCCTCTTGATCAGCGCGTGGGTCTCTCCATCCGTCAACATGATGATCCGACCGAGAATCATGTAGATCGAGGCTGCCATCAAGGCCGGAGCAATCAGGAGCAGGACATTCTGGATGATGTACGGTCCGAGGGTCCAGCAGCCAGGGTCTTCCATCGTGTTCTTCGCACGGGCAGCATAGCCGACTAACTCGCCTGCAAAATCAATTTTGTTAGCTCGCCGATCCAACTGGAGATGTCCTCTCTCATTCAACAGCAAGCAAGCTTACAGAAACCGCCAATGACAAACGCAGTCAAGTACCACGTCTTTGTGCGAATCATCTGGAATAGGTGCAGCGCAGTAGTCAAGATGAAGACTACGCAGAAGAAGATCGCAGCCGCTGTCGAGGGCTCAAATCGGTAGAAGGCCCATTGTGCGTTGACATAGTCGGGATTGCACACTCGTGCCATTGTGGTGGTTTCGAAATCGGTCTCTTGAGAAAGAATGTCGTCGTGTCGATTCGGGGGAACGCAGTAAACGGCAAAGGACGAGGACGAGTGGCTGTAAGGAATGTTGGTGTTGTTCTCCAAGTCGTTTGCTGATGTCGAGAAGTTGTTTGACCGATGAACAAGGAGGAAGCTGGGGATATTTCTATCTCTGAGTTGGCGGTCGTTTGTTATGCCTGCGCTCTCCTGAGGACGACGCGCCAAGTCTGGTCCATCAAAAGGACTGCATTCGCCCTGTTGTCAGCCAAAAAAAATTGACATTTTGCTCAGCAAACGGCAGGTCTTGGGCGCCTGCGACGGACAAATTTCTCCAATGAAGTGAGATCCGAGTATCACTGCGCCACAGAGGACCCGCGATCCCGAGTATTTGTATCAATAGAATCGGGACAGATGGAGCCTCCAACCGTACAGCTGGTGTACGAAATACGGAGCCAATCACGGCACCCGGAGTACGGCTGGGCAACACTACGGGCGCAAGGGCTGACGAGTTGACCGGGATGCCCATGGTTTTGGACCTTCGGGGACATGACAAGCGTCGGGAGACCCGCTGAACCAAGGAGAAACGCCCCGCAATTGCGAGTATTCGCTTTTGTCTCGTGTCGCACTCATTTGCGTTTGCCCTTGCCGAAACCCCTGCAAATGCGGGATTTTTAGGTTTCAGCTACACTATTACCCTAAACGTTAGTTGGTATCGTCTTTTCATTATTTTCTATTATTTCTACTATTATTACTTAATTATAGATAATTTATAATAATTATATGGTATTATAAACTTAAATTAATACTATTATCAATAGTTATAGTTATATATCCTTTATAATAAAACTTATTAACGCTATATTTCTAATTATATCTAAGCTAATAAAATATAAAGTTTAACTATTCTTATTAAAATTAAATGTGAGTTTAACTATTAATTAAAATAGTTTTGAATAGATAAAATAATATTTTAATATTTAGTTATACTTTTTATTATATATAATATATAGATATAATAGAAAGCTATAGCTATAGCTATAATATATATTAATAATATAATATAAATAGCTTAAGTTTAGCTAATATGTTATAGTTTTTATTTTTCTCTGTTAACTTTATCATATATTAATATGATAGTATTAAGATAAAGAAATATAAATTAATTAAATAAATAATTTATATATACTAAATAACATTATTACCTCTTAGTACAAAATAAAAAGCTTTATTTAAAAAGTTTCTATTAGTTAAATTCTTTAGTATTATAGCTATAATAAACATAGTTTAATATATAAAACATACTATTTAGTATCATTATATTTTATTTATTATTATAAAAGATATATTAAAATTATATTAACTCAAAATCTCTAATAATTATAACTTAACACTATTATATAAAGAAGTAATATTTAAGCTATTATATAATAAATTAGATATCTATTTTAATAAGCTATAGATATTTCTTATTAACAAAGTTTTATTTAAAAGTATTAATCTTTATGATTTTATAATATCTAAAAGTGATATAATAATAGAAAAAAGAATTAGATATATCGCTTTATAGAGAGATGATGAGAAACATTTACAATATTAATAAGATATCTATAATATTAAACTTAATTGGTTTACTTTTATTAATAAGAATAGTATTAATTAATATAATAAACCTAAAAGAAATAGTATGATTACTAAGAGGTTTTTAATTTTTCAAAAGAAATATATTAAAATAGAGAGAATAGTATTATATATTATTAATATTTACTCTTAATAGTATTTTTATTATATTATACATTGTAGTTATATAAACTAAAAAAGCTTTGTATATTAAATTAATATTTGGTATTACTATTTATAAATCTATTATTAAAATAACACTTAATTTTACTTATAAATAATATAAATTAATATTATACGTTAAACTTTTAAATAGTATAAAATATCATCAAAACTTATTTATTATATTTATTTTTATATTTATTAGATTATAACTTTATAGAGGTGGTTTTTAGTAGTTTAAAAATATATCTATAGTATTATTTTATATATTATAAGTAAATAGACATAACAGATATATTTTTTAAGTAGTTTCTCTATAAAATAGTTATTATTGTTAGTTTATATTTAGAGTAAATTATAAGTTACTTTTAATTTTATAGAACTATTATATTAAAAGAGGATTCCTCTAATAATAAGAGAAATAAAACTGAAACATAAAATATTATAAAGTTATAAATTTATAAAGTTAATAATAATTTTGTCTCTAAAATATTTATTAAATAATAAATCATATGTAGTAATAATTTTATATAGATAGAAGAATACAATATAGCTATATATTATCTAAGTTTTATTTCTATTAGTTTAACTATATATACATCTTTCTATTTAGACTATATTTAAATGTAATAATTATATAGTATTAAAATACATTAACACTTATATGCCTATTAATAATATTCATTATAGAAATTATAGCTAATATCTCTTTAAATATATTTAATCTAATAGTATAGCTAGTTATAACTAAAAAAGAAGCTTATAATTATAAAAATTAGAGAATCGCTAATAATTATAGTTAAAAATAGTAAATAACTATATATAGTTTATATACTTATATATTATAGAGGGCTATTAGTTTATAATATATAAAAAAGCGTTAAATATAATAAACTTATATTATATAGTAATTATTTTTAATATTTAGTTTTAGCTAATAAAATTTAGTAGTTAATAATAGGAATTAATCCCCTAATGGTTTAGCTTATTAATAATATTTAGCTTAAACGTTTACTTCTATATAATCCATTTATTAATAGTTTATTAGTAAA